CTTAAACGTAAAATAATTAAGAGACGATGTGGCTTGCTCGACAGTTACTTTAATTTTGACAAAAACGGGAGAGACGCGAGAGTCCTTCGTCCGACGATCGTCAAACGTACCCCGTCGCTAGGCGATCACGCCAATCATTCTCCTGTTACCGCGTTCTCGTCCGAACGAGAAGACTCTACGTCTGTCTCTTTTCCTACTACATTTCGGCCATACTGACAATAGGCCGTCCCGGCCGTCTTACACTATCATTACAATCGCTGTTTTATATTATTTCTGAGTCGCTTTCCGATGAATCTTCTGTCTTCGATTTCTCGCGCCATGGCTTCATATTAACCGCTTCCCACCCCAAGTAGAACAAATCAGTTACGAAAATATCAAAATGACATCATTTTGTAATCATTTTTTACGCGTCATCGTGACGTCAAAATGGCCCGTTAGGAGCATATAATCTTGACATCATCTTGACATCAAGATGACGTAAAAATGACCTTTTTTTACAAAGCAGGTATAATTGATGTTATACATTAGAAGTGTGGATTGGAGTAATATTAAATAAGCATAATAGAGGACAACAGGTAAGGAATATATAATTACATGTGAGACTTTTTTATTATATAAAAATATGTCTTACAGAGACGAAGCTATTCTAAATCTTAAGAAAAATTAATTACTAAGGCATGGTTGCATCAACGTCGCATAACTTTAACCTTAGCTTAATTCACTTCACTCTTCGTCTGTTTCTAAGGAAAACAGTTAGACTAACTGTTCCCCTTAGAAAGAGACGAAGATTGAGTTGAACTGAAGTTATGCGACATTGGTGCATTTCGGCTTAATACAATTTGATAAAAAAACATAAAACATAAAATAAAATAATCTTTGGTAATTATTGAAGATTTTAAGAACAATTAAATGTACTAAATATGTGTACTAAAATGTACAGACGGCGTCATTAATGCCTTCCACCTGAAGGCAATAGTATACATGTAACGTGCACTATAGAAATCTCCAGAACACAGCTATTAGGAAAGCATTAATGAGTATTCTGTACTATACATATAACACAAAATAACTTTTAGAACTTATCTAATACCTGAACAAAAATAAATGTATTTATACATTTTATTATTGCACGGTATTATTGCATGGTATTATTTCACAGTCAAAATAAAAGTTGTTTGTCATGGTTTCATAACATTAAAAATAAAAAAAAATAAAATTCTCGTTGATTGGCCTCTGGTCTTTTTCCGTCATCATTGAGATCGTGACGTCAGAGACAAGAAATCTGCACACGCTAAGAATTCTTGAGTGCATTTCCAAATAAAAAGATATTTGCATAAAATAACACTTCAGATCACTTCAGCATACTTCAATAATACTTCGAAAATATTTCTTTTCTTTGACAATTAATAAATAGGAGTAAATAAAAGAATGTAATATGAATGTAGGCTTATATAGACGCAGTCGCATAACTAGGCTTTGTATTATATTTATTTTACGGCTGTTTATTAACTGTCAAGGGAATGGAATAGTTTTCAGGGTATTTTTGAAATGTGCTAAAATGATCTAAAATGTTTTTTTACGCAAATATCTTTTTATTTGGAAATGGCACGCAAGATCGAATTCTCAGCGTGTCATTTCTACCCTGGTAACCAGTTTGCTAGTTCAGATGCGTCCCGAAGAAGTGCGCAAGAAAACAGTCTAAAATTGCGACAAAAGTGCATAATATCTGTGATTGAACGAGTACTTACTGTACTATTGCAGTAGTCTGGCAGTAGTTTGCTGTAAGAAGCTACTTTTCGTGCAGTTTTACAGCAGAATTGCAAAGGAATGGTTACCAGGGTATATAGCCTCTGACGTCACGATCTCACATAATGACGGAAGAAACCCAGGAGCCTTAACATTAAATATCACAAAGGCAAGTAATTCTCCCATGACTAGAAAAATTTGAAAAAATAATTAAATTTTTCTTTGGTTTCCCGTATAAAGCCATCTTTGTATTTTTAACTTCACTAGTTTTAAGTCACTTTTGGGATGGTTTTTCAGAACAGCGCCTACAATTTTAACTTATTATTCATTTCTTATCTACTATATTTTAGTAAAAGACGGTAATTTATATAGAATTGTACTCACAGGAAACAGCGTCCATAATTTTACTGTTTGCTAGTGCGATCTTGGTATCTTTGGTACCTACCCAACTTATTGCTCTTGCTAATTTGTTACTTATTAGCAGTTTCGATACTAGGTATACAGCACTTTGCCAGTCACTACCTTGACTAACCATACGGCCCGCAAAATATTGTACCTAAATATCACATATTTTAGTTCAAAGAACAAAATCATAAATGTAACAAATAATTCTATTTAGTTCAAACGTACCACTGTTGAGAAATTCGTGCCATCATTTAAAAACTCTTCAAATTTATCATATTCATCAACTGACTTCAGAGGAAGCGCTGGAAGGTTATCTGGTCTTAAAAGAAGACTTTCCTCTGGTGCTAAGTAGGTAAGTATTTTTGTTGTGTTCATCATTACAAAATCAAGTTTACTACTTATTTCTTGAAGTAACTCTGTCTTAATTATTTTTATGGCAGCATCAGTGTTATCACCTAATTAATGCAAACAAATTATTAATGTAATGTAAAAAATATTCTCAATCCAACGAAAGATCGATCACGTTTTGAATATAGGCAAAGTAAAGTAGGAAGAGCGTGTCGCGCTACTAAATACCATATACGTAAATATGGCACGTCCGCTGTGGAGGAGGGCTTTCTAGACGTTCTATAGACAGACACCTGCGCAAAACATACGAGTTTTCGTCCAATCTCTGTGATCGATTTTTTGTTGGACGGAATATACATATATAAATGCTTACTTGATGATTGGTGCTTACTGGAAAAAGGAGAAACCGATTTTGTAAGTAAATTTTTACAGTTTGCATCATAAGATCTATTTTCTTTGGAATGCTTTCCACTGGATACAGCTTTAACACCTGAGTGTAAATACATAAAATATCAAAAATAAGATTACTTGTACAGAAATAATAAATATACAATTACTGATTGAATTATAGGAAATGTGTTTAATTTGTAAAGAGTAATAACTCCTTTTGTAAGTAATATTTTTTATTCATGTCTAACTTATATTTTTTATCTCAAGTTATAGACAGCATATAAATAGAATTATACTATTGATGAAATAAATAAATAGCTGTAGTATAAATGTATGTGCATAGCATTGCCAGATGTGTTATAAAGCTTTGTTTCAACCACTTATTTTTCAAAGAACTGAATGATATAAAAGATATTTGTTATCTCAAGAATAATCTCATGAAAAAAATACATAAAATGTTTAGAAATCTGTTATATAGCTTAAGACTACTTATCAAAAAACTGCTGCTAATATAACTTTTTTGCTTTTCAGTAGTGAAACACGAGAGTTTCGGAGAGAGAGAAACGGAGAGTACGTATTTGAGAAACTTGCTTAGTTATCTTCTAACAATCTGTAAATGTTATTGTTTAGAAACATCCTGTACAATTATATTTACCTGTAGGTTGATCTGTGACAGAAGTAATTATTTTTCTTTGTTCATCACTTAAGTCAGAAGACTGACTTAATTTCTGCGAGATATTTATGCTCCCATATTTATTATCTGTTGCAGTATTAATTTCTTCTCTACTTTCTTCTTGTATAATTTCTGGACTGGATGGTAAAACAAATTCTGATTGTTGAGAATCATTTCCTACAGACGTATACAAAAAATAAATTAATGTAGCAGTCAATACTTTCTTGTACTGACTAATTTAAAACTTAGAAAATTATTTACCTAACAAAAGTTGTTCTTTCATTCTATCTATATTCATTCTATCATCATATTGTCGGTGAAATTGCAGAGAAGACGAAGCAGGGGTACTAGGGACTTCTGTTGTTGCATGCAAAACATCTGTCAGATTATATGTTTTTTTAGAACGTGGGTCACTTTCTATAGTATCATTTAAACCAACAGAACGGTTCTGTTCTAAATCGAGTGTTTTAATTAAATTTTTGGATTTGGTAACCATGGAAACCTCCTTGTTAGCCTTGTTTTGAGAAACTTGCGGTTTTATATTATTTCTCTTGGCTAGTAATGCTGCAACTTTTGCCCGAACAGCTTTTTCTTCCATTTCTTCATTTTCACTATCGCTAGACTGATCTCTCAATTTATTATTCCTGCTCTTCTTAACAGTGTGAGTATTACATTTATCTTCGGATTTGGATGACTCTGTGACATTATATTTCGGATTTTTCTTTCTTTTTCTGGGCTGGTCTATATCACTAACTTCTGTCCCTACTGTTCGATCTTCATCATTTTGAAGATTAGCTGCCTTTCATGCCTTATTGTACGTGTCTAAAAAAATTTTGCATTAAAAATGATAATTACAAATCTTAAAAAATGTATATAAATGAATGTAATATAAACATTTAGTTCATAGCCGTGACAAAATTTAACATCGTATGTAGGCCAGCTTTTATCCGGTTCAGCTAAACTTAATATTAATTTTGATCGTTTACAGATGTATATACAGATGTATATACAGATGTATTCCCACGTTTAGGAAAATTAGGCCAGTAAGCCTTTGTATTCTTAGCAAGTAGCCAACAAGTGGGTACAACGTCACTTGTTGGTTCAGTATCCTTATCATTTGGAAGAAAAGTAACAACTGCATACTGAAACAGATACAAATTTTCAATAGGCACAAAATAAAATGGTGGATTGTTAAATAATACAAAACTCGCACTAACCATATTTAAACAATATTAATAATAAAATAGATATGTGAATATTCTATATATTTACACTATATTATTTACTTATAAAGTCAGTTATGACTATGTATAAGAGGAACTGTAAGAAATTCTTCATTTCCCAAAGGTAATAAAACACATTTCGCAGCAAATTGTGAAATATTCCAAGCATAAACTTGAAGATCTAATGAGCTCACTTTCCAGATACCCAATTGTGAAGAATTACATGGATAAGTGTAATAGTCAGTCATAGTGCAAAATTTCTGACCGTTTAATTTTATCCTGCCTTCGAATGTATGAATGATATTTCTTAGCAGTACTACTGTATTGCATTTGATAAGAAAACATCGATCAGCTAGATTAGTATTTAAACAAATTCCATCAATCTCAATGGAAGAGTACATGTCACCTTCTATATTATCTACTATATTTTCGCATAAGCCATTTAACTTCACTGTCCGATCATCTGGCTGGAATATTTTCGATGTTAGACGACCTTTGGTCTCAAAATCCCTATTAACCAGTTGCTCAAGAGGTTTATAAGTTGAACGCAAACAATTTTCTTTATTGTCATAAAAAAATTCTCATACATAAATGCGCTAAAAGAATCAATAGCACCGTGCAAACGACATTCCTCTGACAAATGGCATAAGCTGTGCACATTATATACCACAAACTGTTTTCCAAATACTTTAATGGCATGTTTTATAAATTGGCGGATTATTACATCAGCTGCAGATGTCATATGTTGTACTAAATCAGGTCTTGCCAACATATAAATTGATGATTGCAAGAGAATATAGCTTTTCCACAATTTTTTGTCTAAGTGTTTAAACACAATTAATCCATCATAAAGCAGCATACGTCTGAACTCTGTACCTTTAAATTTTGCAAAATATTTAAATGTTCGTGGTCTTCGATTAAAGATCTTAGGAATGTACGGTGTCAACTGTAATATTTTATTGTTTATTTCTTGTGCGTCAGCATCTGATGCAATACCACGTCTGTTCTTTAAACCCAAGACAAAAGTAAGCCACCTTTTCCAAACACCTGCCCAAACTAAGTGTAAGGCATCCAACCTAAATTGTGAAACCATTCCAGTAGGAATTCTTTCCAAAGGTGAATTACCAGTATGATGAAAAATATTTGATCGAGTACGAAATGACTCATCCGTTCTTAACTCAGCATCTAAATTTAAAAAAATTTGTCTTGACAGATAGTATTCTCCTTTAACTTCACATTTCTCACATGCAAAGCGACCATTATGACCAATTATACATTTAATTAATGATCTTGCCGGGGCATCAAGCACATAATTGCGGACTCGAAAAGGATAAATATGTTTAAATATTTCAACACCTTGCTCCTGTAATTCTTTTACTTCTTCTACATATTGTTCTAAAAATGTTTCCATATCGCAAGGCTTTCTTTTTCCAAAATAGACAGCAATTATAAATGGCTGAGGATCATCTTCAAAGCAGCCAATTATTGGCTAAAAACAATCATTTGTACTTTCAAATGGATCCAATCCATCTATGTTTACATCAATTATTATCTCTTGATGATCTACAAAATACTGTTCTAAAAGTCTTTCATCAATATTTTTTCTGATACCTTTGTAAAAAAATTGTCCATTTCCAAGAGCAACAGTAATTGTTTTACGAGGTGTATGCAAAAGACTTTTACAGCTCTTAGGCAGATTGGGAAATAAGGTTCTAAGTATTTTCAAAAGATTATCTACTTTGACAAAGCTTACACCTTTCATTGCCCATTCTCTTAAATTTGTTAACAAATACATTTCCTTTTCAATATCATTCTGTAGAAAGTGATCTATATTATTAGAATTTATTTCAAAAATTTCACTCAAAGTACTTAAGACTTCATTGCTATCATCGGTACTGTGAGTGTTATCAATATTAGGATCGAGCTCATCATTGTTCATATTATTATCAACTGTATTACAGTTATCTGTGTTAACACTGTAAAAATTATTGCCATTTGTGTTGTCATATCGAATAATATCACCATTGGCTGTATTTATACTACTACTGTCACTATTACTTCTGCTCAAATGTGAAAAGTCGTCAAGCAACTGCAAATCATCATCCATAGGAATTCCTGCATTAACTTGAAATTCTAATTTAACCATTTTCATCCTTTGCGTTACTTCTCGTTTAGCATGCCTTGCTCTACGCCGTTTACTCTGTGACAATATTTATATGCAATTATAAATACACTAACGTTCAACATAG